GTGACATATGGATCGCTAGCTGCTCCTCCTGGCGATTCCCCTAGACGTTGTGAGTGGATCGATCCCGTGACAAATCGATCGCTAGTGAATTGATTCCATGACAAATCGATCCCTAATTGCTCACCCTCGCGGTTCACAACCACCTACACCACACGACTCCATTAAATCCAACGAGTCATGGTAGCTAGTTAGGGGGAAGCAACTCCTAGGTGAAGCTCCCTTAGTTATAATTTTCCATTATTTACTTTTCTTTACTTGTTTAGTTTGTAGTTCCATTAGTTCTAATTTCTAAACCCAAAAGTTGCTTGCTAGATAATAACCTAAGCGATTGAAGTAGGGGTACATAGATCGGTCCGGGTTGATAATTAAAACTTACTTGCCCTATGCTGCACCCTTCTAGAGTTTAAAAATTTGGGCTCTAGAGCGGATTTCTAGTGTGGTGTTTTGTGCAAGTCATATATGCAATTTTTCAACGTACGCCAGGTTTCCAAGAACATGTGTGAAAAATCTATTATTAAAAAAAAAATGTTCGACACAATCGCCCAAAATTTTATTTGTCATCTTCAACTTTAGACTAGCTAGACGTGTACCTACTGAGAAGCAAACACAAGAAAGAGGAGAGTAAGGAGAAGAACACACACATGATTTTTTGTTAACCGAGTTCAGCCTATTGCTTACATCTTGACTCAAAAGTGCTCACCCTTTGAGACCTAGTGTCTAGCTTTTTATCTTATTTCAATCTAACTCTAAGTTGGGTCCCTTTGAGTGGAACTCAAACCCTTGACAAGAATAGAGCAATATATATAGTTCTTTCTCTCTTCTTCACAACAACTGACGCTAAAGAGAGAAACTACACAACCTCACAAACACTCAAGCAATATAGATAGTGAACACCTATTACTTCTTAGACCTATTGCTAATCACAGAGTGTTTGATCTTTATTTGTATAGGATTGCTCCACCACATTCCGTGAGTCTTGTCTAATTGCTTTCCTCTATTTATACTTTCTCTTGATGTAACGATCTCCTTTTGTCTTCCCTTGATTTGATTCTTCTTATTTCTTTCTTTAATTTGGGAGATCCTATGATCACACATTCACAACAAAGCAGGTAGTAGAGATTAGTGGGATCTTAGCATGGTCATTACCTTTTCGGTACACGAGTACGGAAAGGAAAAGTCTCTTTTTCCTAACACAGATTCTGTGGCTAGTGTTAATACATTGACGGGGTCCTATGGGTTGGTAGTTATCAGCTTCCATATATTCAGCCACAATTTGATTACCTTGCTTAAAATTACTGAGTGCCTCTGTTAGTTTTGCTAGTCTCACTATATCTCCTTGCCCATACCGTGTTTTCAAACTCTTTCATGCTTCAGTAGCCAATTTGAAGGAAATTGTTGTTTTCTTGATTCCAGGTTTCACAGCTTGTTGTATCCAGCTGAGGATCATGATGTTGTTTCTGCTATAGGGCTATAACAAAGGACTTGCATCTTCTGATGTTGTGATTGTTCCATTAATGAAACCAAACTTATACTTGGCACCCAAAGCGTTATACATGACTTTGCTCTAGCCTTTGTAGTTGGTAATGGTTAACTTATCGCCTACCGACATCAAACCTGATTGCTCTGAAGCGTGAAGCTAATAAGGATCCACCATTAGGTCCTGTATTAGTTGTTGTTGTTGGTCCGCCATTGTGTTTGGTAGCTAGGACTTACCAACTCGACTCTCATACCATAACATAAAAAAATGGATGGAAATCCTAACTTACTTTTTTATTCATCAACGTTGATTTAAATACGAAGATTGAGCAGAAAAAGACAACGGTAGCTTAGTTGCTGTGTTATAGAAGAAAAAGATAGGGAAGGGTGAAAAGAGAGGAACACATTCTGAAAAAAAGGAAAGAGAGGTTGTAGTTTGATGACTTGCTACGATGACATAATGTCCATTACAACACTCATAAACATGCACAACTTAAGTTCACTTTTGGAGTTGTAGTGTCCACTTTGTCATAGACCAGTAGGTCCCAATAACTCGAGTTATTGGGAGAAGGTTATGTTGGATCTTATATCACTATCTAACACGCCCCCTCAAACGAAAGTCAACCCATGGGCTTGAAGTTTGCACAGGCCCTCCATACCTTGTGCTTTAATCAACTGTTAATATTGGGGGTCGTGAAAATTCGAACACACGACCACTTTGACCAAATCAGCTCTGATACCATGTCATAAACGAGTTAGTTCCAATAATTCGAGTTATTGAGAAAAAGTTATACTGAATCTTATAGCACTCTCTAACACAATTCACCGTTCACTCTACCTAAAAAACGAAAGGAATTCACATACCCACAAAAGCAAAAGCAGCGAACAAGGATAGAGTAGAGAAATGAAAAGAAAAAGAGATTCGTCCACGAACGACGACAAAAGCCCAACTTATTCCAACACTGACTGACGAAGGAGACCTCACGAATGGGAGATTTCACTTGCCCCATTAACAAATCAATCAATCATTGCATCAAAGGGAGAATCAATCTGGCACTTCTGCTGTTAACTGGAATCCCTCTCTGTTAAAAAGGCTTATGCATGTCGAATTTTGATATTTGCGGGGCATGCATCTGGGTAAAGGCCAGAAACCTAAAAGTATCTTCTCCTTTTTCTGCATTGGGATATAGATGCTATGAGCCTATGACCAAGAAGAAGAAGAATATGTGGTGGTGGAAGTGGGAAGGGTACTTTAGTTTTCTTCTCACCCTCACAAAGACGCGAAAACTGAAATTCATCAACTTTCTATAAGCTGGATTAGTTGGAAGCACGACTCTTCATATCCACACTTCAGCAAATGTACATTAATATTGGTTTTGTTTGAGAGTAGGTTTTATAACAAAATTCCGAATAGAGTCATCTATGGATTTGGGATGGGACCACAAAAAATATACCGTAACTCAGCCCCACGTGCCACTTTAGTGACAGCGGATCCTACTAAATATGGAGGCCACCTGCAATCAAATTCGACGCCAACGGGGCTTAGCCCCGAACAGCTTTGTACCTCCGGGAACACCAACGGGTCTCACTTGGATTCGAACCTGGGATCTACAACTCCTAATCCTTTACTGTCGCGCTGCAACTTTACCGTTAAGCAATCGTATCAATGCATTATACATATATATGGAATTGATAAAACCAAAGTTCATGCCAAAATATGAATTTTTATTTAATTGTTTCACGCTTTCTTTGAAAACACATCAAGTGGCCGTTAAGTAATTAAGGTTTAGATATCAAGCCAATTGTAAACAATAAATATGTATTGTTGTCGAATGAGGTTTATGGGCCCGGCTCCGGTTTGTAGGATTGGCTGAAGTTCAATATGGGCTTGATGATCCTTTTATATTGAAGCCGAGGCCTTTCTCTTGTGGTTATTCTATTGCTTCAAATAAGCCTTCAGGCCCATGGCTGTTTGGGTCTAGACGCCAGCACTCGATCACGGTGTGTGTCAACTCTCTCTTATTAACGTTGACTCGTACGCATTCCATTTTGACCATTTGAATACCGAGTCAACACAATTCCCTCATTGACCCATGGTTTGAAGTTTTGAACGGCATGGTTACCAGGAATTCTACATAAGACGAGTTCTGACCATAGAGAAATCTCACATTAGTGCCACACAACACAAGGCTTGGCTGAAAATAGGTTTGAGCCTGGACTTTTTACTCTGTCTTGTGTTATCAATTGTTCTATTTCTCTAATTTGTTACAATATTTGGATGCAATTTTAATATTTACCTACTTTTGAGATTCAAAGTTATTCTGTCATTGATTATGATATTTACGATAAAATATTTTTTTGATGTTATGCAAATATCAAGTTCATGTCAAGGATTTTTTTTTTGTGAATCGGAGCGCAGACGGGTGCTCCCTAACTGTTATTATTGATCATACGAGGTGTTTGAACCCCTAAAAGGTCGAAGAAGAGCAAGTAATTTAGAGTTGGATTTGGGTGGTTCAAAACATGTAAACCAATCCACAAATTATGACCCAAAGAAGCAAGAAAATCAGCAACAACATTGTCTTCTCTAAACACGTGGATTATCTCCACCTTCCAGTCCTGAGCAAGAAGCCGCCGTGCTGCAGAAATCAAACAATGATGAGGATTTTGTGAATTTGCCTCCTGCAGCAGTTGAATGGCGATTCTAGAGGGATTTTAAAACCGTACCATAGATTTCACCCATGAAAAACTAGTAGGATATTTTATACGAAAACCATAATTCTACTGTTTCGTACCGCTAAAAACTACATATCCATTTGGTATTCGATAGGAGGCTCTGTGTGAAGTCGCCTAATTACAAATTACTTAAGACCACCCACACACACATGACACAACGCCACAGTTATGACTTCTCTCATCTTCTATTATAGGCTGTAGCTTAACTTAGCTTAATAAATTCCTTCATCATCATAATATATTTCTTGTTGAAAGGAACTCATACCCACTCCACCAACTTCATCGATTGCTCTTTCTTTTTGCTACCACTCAAATACCTTTTGGTGGTTCAGTTTCCCTCCTTGCATTTTGGAATACCGACACACCAATCATGCATGCACACTCACAAAACTAGGGACCATCAGATTTCACGTACACAACTCTAAGTCTCTAATATTTCAAGCCCAACTTTTTTTATATGTATTAGCGGGTAGATGATATTTAGTGACACGATCATGAATTAACTGATGATGCATTGATAAAGTATCGTTGAAATATATGATATAATTTACTCAATCGATGATATACTCAAATGTTGTAGTTTACTAAACTAAAGTTGCTGAATGTTCCATCAGTAACCCAGTGGATCATGTTGTACTTGCTTATACAATTTTTTTGTATATATATATATATGTGGACAATATGATTCGGATATGATATGTAATTCGTGAGTTCCAAACATCGACACGATACGATATCCACAAATCATGCATTAGGTTGATTTCCCAAAACAGAAATATACATTATGACACCAATTTAATGCAAACAACCAAAAGTGTAAAACAAACGACACTACGACAGGAACTCAATCGACAACGAATCATATAACCTAATAATAACCTCGCATTCAGGATGATAACATCGATATAGTTTTAATCTTTAGACCAATTTCTATCGTACTATCACCCACCCATATTCCCATAAACCATCATACCTCAATTCCCCATGTACAAACCAATAATCAATCATCTTTCTCCTAATACCAAAAAAAAAAAAAAACTACCGTTATGATAACCTTAATTTATCATTCCTAAGTAAAAGTTCCAATTCCTAAAATCTTACAACTAACAAAAGTTGCAAATCATATCCCCTTTTTGTCACATCTCAATAAACATCAATCAATAGATAATATATTCTGCGGAGGAAAAGAGAGAGAGAGAGCCACTAAATATGTTGTTGTTGTTCCTTCCCAATTCCCTTCACGCTACGCTTATGATGCTGTCCCCACTAGACATCCCCTGAAAAGCAGACGACCTCGTCCCGCCGCCCGCCGCCGACGATGACTGCTCGTCGGAGGGAGGACTCGTTGAAAGCCTCAGCGACAGAGGCAAAAACACTTCCTGATGATGGTGACCGCTGGAACGGCTACTAGCCATCATCCTCTGCTTCCAATTGAGATCAGCCATTTTGGAAGAGGGCGGAATTGGAATCGGAATCGGACGAACCAGCTGGTTATTGGGTTTTGTTGTACTCGCCGGCGGTCCCAGCGCTAGCCTCTCCAACGACCCGTCGCCGGTGATTGGTATAGCCACCGGGAAATTGGGTACCGGAGGAAGCTTCCCCAGCTGCAGCCGGCTGATTGTCTTGATCGGAACAGACGCCGCCACCGCCGCCGCCGCTTCTTGATTGGGCGATGTCTGCTGGTCTTCAATTTCCATCATAGAATTGCCCACAAACTGTAAAAGGATAATAATCAGTTTCCCAATTTCCCCAAATTTTAGAAACTGTACATACATATTAATTAATAATAATAAAATATACTCACGGAACTATCGGTAGTGATGTCAAAGAGGCTGGAGCGGCGGCGCCGGCGATTCTGATTGTTCCGGCGGAGGAAATACTTCTGAGCGTGGCTGGCCACCTGCGTCGGCGTCCTGCTCTTCACGAAATTCCTCGAAATCCCTCTCCAATCGCCTTTCCCCACTTTCTGCAGACCCACGAGGAACAATCTGTGCTCCTCCTCTGTCCACGGCACCCCTGCACCCCAAATCAAACAAATTCCCCAATTCAATCAATCAAAATTTTCCCCAAAAAATTCGCATCCTGTACTGATTTAAGAACCCTAAACCACAATTACCTCGCTTGCGCTCGCGGCTTCTGCCGGAGGCGTGAACGACGTCGTCGGACTCGTAGCCGGAGGCCACGGCGTCGGCTACTGATAAGGGGTCCTGATTGATCCCCTGGTCGTACTGCGACAAGTTGTTCATACTCACGCTCTTTCTGAACGAGTTCATCCCGGCCGTGACTCGAACCCCGAACAGCATAATCCCGCTCTCCCCCGCCGTTCCCCCGCCGCCGCCCTCGCCGGTGGTGGTGTCGCCGTGGCAGGTTCGGGAGTTGTGCCCGTTGTTTCCGCACTGCGAACAGCTGCGAGACATCTCTCTCTTTCTCCCCGTGCCTGCGTCCTGGTCCGTGGAAATTGATACCTGAGTCTGCGGAAATTATTTCCGGAGAGAAGGAAACGTTTTCAGAGTGAGAGACAGAGAGGAAATCTGGGAAATTTGTGTCGCTGGTTGATGATGAAGTATGTAGTAAGAATGGAAATCAAAGAGAGAGAGAGAGAAAAGTGTGTGTCTGTTTTTGCGGATCAGACGGTGGGGAATTGGGTAGAATTTAAGGTGGAGAATGGATCAGGTCCGTCCATCTGTCCGTCCGTGCTTGGGTTTGACGTTTTGCTCGCCGGTCGGTGGAAACGAGAGCAGCTGTTATCGTAACATCCTTACATTTTTGTTCGTGCGTATTCTCTTGTGTATTGGTATTTCCCCGGCGACAAATAAAACGCATAGTCTTTTCCAAATCAATACCCTTTTTTTTTTCTTCCTTTAATTAATTTTTTAGTTTAAACATGGTTTGTGCTTGGTACCGTACCAACCATCTGGCCATAAAAATTGCCTACCAATTGTTAGACCGATACAATGAAGTCTTGTAGTGATTGATACGACACAGATCAAATTGTCTCAACATTTTGTTATCATTACATTTTTTGTATTATGATTTTTATTTTTGTATCGTTTCAACAACAATATCTTATCAATCATACTATCACTTGAATGGTTGTTTATGAAATTCGAATCAGAAAATAAAACAGAGATAAATGTTATATGTGATTCAGTTCCATATTGTGTGAAATCCTACTCCACATAGAAACGGAATACATTTTCTTTATTGATAAGGTACGTATATTGGCCACACGGCTTTTACAACAACCGATAAAACGAGGGCTTATATATTACCTAGCACAACTGATCAGCTAGGACATAACAAAAAGCTTATAATCACACTTATTAATACGGGGAAATAAACGTCTCAAATACGATTGTATCATCAAATATCATCCCGATGATGGATTGGTACGTATATTGTTATTGTTGTTGCTGATGGCTGGCTGTTTGTCGATCAGATAGCATAATTCACGTGAGCGTTATATACAATATAGTTGAGTGATTTTTATTTATTATATCTGGCCCTTTTCATCCCTTGTCTAAGAATTAGGGTACGTTTGGTTGTTTTCTTCTCAGGAATTTTGTTGTTTATAGTTGTCGTAACGGGCCAAAATCCAAATTAAAATAAAAGATAAAAATAAAAAAAAGGTTTGGCATTGGGCAAGAAACTAACTTTTTCTGTAAATATCCAACAAGGAAAGGATAACAAGGAGACTCAGAGAACGTTCATTGTTGTGGCCGTGTTGGATTTGGTTAAGCCAATAGGATAAAGTTTAAAGAATGATATATTTTTTTTTCACTCATCAAAATGACAAGGTTTTACTTCACTGGGAATATTTATTTATGTTAATTATTCCTATCTCCAGAAATTAAATGGGGGAATCTGTATATGCCTAGTATCGGATGTTTTACAATAACTAAGGAAACAAAATTTAAGTACTGTGATCATCTTGTTTAATTTAGTGGTATTAGGGGAACTCTAGAGATGATCTTGCGATAGTCGTCGAATATTTAGCTTATAAGAGTCACTCGATATATTCTTGTGCTCAGTTTGTTTATGGCTCAAATTATGATTTTATGTACTAGATTATATATGACTACTATGTTCGCGACTTTGTTCTCCGTTCAATTGCTTAATTTGAGATAATGGTATTTGTAAGATATTTTATTAAGAAAATCTTATTTAAAATAGTGCCTTAACATTGTTATTTCAGGACTTCAACGGGAGGGTAACTTTTCAAGATAATAAAAAAAATCTTCTTGGATTCCTTTTATATGAAACTATCTTATAATCCGGCCCATTGGCCGGAATATTCATATTTGATTATTTATATTTTTATGTTACGTTTAAGCTAATCAACCGGTTTAATTTTATTGACAATCTTTTGATCGAGATGATACAGAAAGAAATAATATATAGGTCTAACATTCGAAAAAATACCATCATCATTTAAGAATATAAAATGTATCATTAATTCCATTTTCATAATGATATTTAAGCCCTCATTAAAATGCTATTGGTTAGTTGATTGTCAAGAAAGAGGGTATAAAAGCTCAGTGAAATTCCACACGACCCATAGATAGTTTGAAACTAAAACTTAAACCTCACAATCCTACATAAAGGTTTAATGCGCTCCTTTTATGAATAATATGCCACTAATCAAAAAGAAATAGAGAGTTGTTGATTGAAGTCAACTATATACTAACAACTCAGCTAAGAGGGGACCATCAAAACTTGAGAGCAAACGACAAAATTAGGGTTATCTCCAACATACTAATAGACTCAATCAAAGTAATAATGCACAACATTAAGCACTCCTTGTCTATCAGTTCCAGTAGGTTGAATAATGAATCGACCTACTTCAATAAATCAATCAATGATTCCTTGTTTTAAGATAGAAATAGGTTGTGATAGATGTAAAAACCATAAATATAAAGATCCAATAGTCACCACTCTTCGTTTTACAACCAAATTTTTAGGGTTAATTACATGGTTGGTCACTGACATTACAAAAAGCGTTCATGTTTGGTCACTCGAAATATTTAAATCCATTTTTGGTCACTAACTTTACAAGAACCGTTCATTTATGGTCACTCTCCGTTAGCTACCGTCCAACGCCGTTAATGGCGTCCGTTAAGTGATGACGTGGCTGACGGATTCGCCTAATCATCACCTTTTAACCCAAAAATTGACTGACCCGACCCGCCACGTCATTTAAACCCTCCATGTCAGCCAAACCTAAAACCAAACCAGACCCGACCCATAAATAAAGAACTGACCCGACCCACCAATTATTCTACCCACCTTTGACTAAAACCCTAATCGAAGACAAATCCCGGCCGCCAAGAAGAAGAGCGGGCTGGCGACCTCCAGCTTCAGCTTCGACAAGAAGGACAGCCCCGCCGCCGGGGACAGGAATCAGACCATCCCTCTGGCCTTCGATATCTGGAGCATCACGGGCGTGGCGCCCATGGTGGCGCCTCCTAAGCGAGGTAATCACGGCGCGGCGACGACGATTCAGCTTTCTTCCGAGATCTGGAGCATTGTCGACGGTCCTCCGCGTATGGCTCCGCCACCGATGATGATGATGAATTCGGCGGCGGCGGAGAGGGAAAGGGGGTCGACGATGTCGCCGGTTAAGAGGGAAGCGAGGAAGAAGAATTTGTACGGATCTCCAGGGAGCAGGCGTGGGGAGAGGCAGGGTCCGTACCTCGCTGGGAGGGAGAGGCCGTCGCCGCTGTCGAGGGAGTCGGAGAGAGAGCGGCGGCCGGTGGCGATTTCACCTCAGAAGCGAGAGAGGGAGAGGAATTCGTCGTCTTGGTCGGCGAGGAAGGATTCGGGAAGAATCGGGGAAGTCCGGGAGACATTATTGTTGGGCTCTGTTTTGGGGGTGAGGGAGAAGTTGTTGTGGGCGAGGGCGAGGAAGCTCTGGCGGACGATTTCTTCCCAGGCTGAGTGGAGCAGCGAGAGGGATAAACCCATATGGAGCTGTGAATTCTCTGATTGATCAAGGTTTTTGAAGTGGATTGGATTGGGGGAAAGATTGGATTTTTTCTTTCTTGCTTCCAAGTTCAGGGGTTTCTTTCAAGCTTGGGGAAGGATGAATGAGAATGAATAATGGAGGTGGGTTTGGGTTTCTGAGTCTTGACCGGAGGGGATTTATATAGAGGGAGTAGAGAGAAGGTTGAGAGAGAGGGATGGATGTGTGGGCATGGCGTTGGCAGGGGATAAAGAAATGGCAGAAAGCGTGGAAAGTCTTCGGGGGTAAGGGGGGAAGACGACCGAGTTGGGCAGAGAGTGTGGAAAGTCTTCGGGGGTCGGTGAGGAAGGATTCGGCGAAGGCGATGTCAGCGAAAGAATTGGGGAAGTCCGGGAGCGAGTCGGTCGGTTCGGAGTCGGAATCGTGACCGGCGTGTGATGAGGAGTCGTTCTCCGCCTCCTCCTCGAGAAAACCTTAGACGAGATGGGAGAGGCCCTGGGTAGATTAATTGGTGGGTTGAATCAGTTTTTTATTTATGGGTCGGGTCTGGTCTAGTTTGGTTAGAGGTTTGGTTAGATTTCGCTGACATGGAGGGTTTAAATGATGTGGCGGGTCGGGTCAGTCAATTTTTTGGTTAAAAGGTGATGATTAGGCGAATCCGTCAGCCACGTCATCACTTAACGGACGCCATTAACGGCGTTGGACGGAAGCTAACGGAGAGTGACCATAAATGAACGGTTTTTGTAAAGTTAGTGACCAAAAATGGATTTAAATATTTCGAGTGACCAAACATGAACGCTTTTTGTAATGTCAGTGACCAACCATGCAATTAACCCAAATTTTTATCTCAAGAGACATATGTTTCAACCAAAAATTCAATTTCTAATCCTCCTTCTGCAACTCCATTATTTATTGAACTCTTTTACTTGCCCAACTTAAATCCCCAACAATAAAACTGGCGTGCCAAGAGATACCGGATGATTAATTTTCAAAGGCGGCCTTGTTCTGGGAAGTGAAAGGGGTGCAAACTATTGTACGATGGAGGGAATTTTCGAGGAAGTTAGAAAGAGATAACAACAAAGATAAAAACCATAAAATTTAAATTGAAAAATGCAAGGACACAACACGTAGTGACAAAATTAATATTTTCCATGTTAGCCAATTACCAATTTACCTTTAGCAAAAATAAGGGGAGAGAAAGAATTTTAAAATTGAGAAAGTACATGAAACTCTACAATGAAAATTGAAGTATCAAGCACCATGAAAATACATATGGTATACTTAGTGGGCTTGCTAATCATGATGGAAAGTCCTGCAATTTTCAGAGAGTTGAACTTTGTGTATATTTTGTATTCAAAAAGTCACAACAAATTTATTCAGTGTAAATGGTTGTGATTGTTATCTTTGTTTGAAGATACTCGGGTTCAAATCCTGATGTTGATATTTTTTATGTGAGATAAATATTTAATTGTAAAGACAAAAATGTCCTTCCTACTTTCACTCTCGTTGCAGGAAATTTAAAATGGAGAAAAGTACACAAAAGTGTACTATATATTATTGGGGGATAATACTTTTCTATTTTTTTTGTAATTTTGAAATTATATGATTGAAAAAAATTATTTTGTACAAAAAATTTATAAATGATAAGAATAATCTAATATTTTCAGATAAATTGACATAAGTTAGAAATCGGAATGTTTGTTTTTATGTTATAACAATCGGGTGGCTCATATGGTGGCCAGGAAAGCC